GGGGGAGCCTATAAAACTCTTTCTCTCTCTCCCTCTTGCTTTTTTTAACGAAAATCAAATTAAAATCCTACACAAAATGCCCGGGTTCTTCTCATAAACCGTGCTAATATCAACAAAAATTCCAAGCATAAAGATTTGCATTTCAATGAGAAATAAATTAAATTTTCACTGTAATTTTGGGTTGGGAGGAGCGGGGCAGCTTTTTACAGTTCGGGTAACGTTTTCAAACATGTTTTTGCACCCGAGACACCCTCTTTGCCAATGACACTGAGGTTTGCAAACATCTACGTCACTTCTGAAACTGCAACACAAAGGCTTTTGGAACTTTTCGTATAAAACTTTCCAAGAAGGGCCACTTGCCACCAAAACTCAAAACGCAAACAGCTTAAACACTACCCCTTAAATCCTTGCTAGTATTTCTGCTGGTTTTCAAAGGAAAACACCACCAAGATGAAACATGCATGGAAAAGGAGCACGTCTCCCACGCAGACAGGAGAACGGGCTCTCGTAATACATCCTGGTAGCATCTGGCCCTGCTGGGAAGTGCGGAAAGCCGGGAGCAGCGAGGCAGCTGGCCATTTTCAAACACAATGCTTAGCGCGGGGCTGAAATTCGGGGGCCTGAGAATTAGCAGACTGACCTCTCTTGTGTAACTCCGGTGGCAATTCCTACCTCTTTCCTGGCAACGAGCTACGATGCAAATTCACACGGGGAACGCCCCAGGGCTCAGCTATGCTGATGGCAAATATGGGAAGAGCAAAGCTTGTGTGTGTGTGTGTGTGTGTGTGTACACACACGCACGCGTGCGCCCATGCAGGTGTGCATACGTGCGGGGAATTATGCTGGAGTTGGGTGATGGATCACCAGACTTGGCATAAACACAATGCAACAAGATAAGAAACCATTTGGATTAGCATGTAAAGTGCAATCCACCCTTTCTAGTTGATGCTTCGCTGTCTACGCGGGTGCCTTCACGTCAAAGCACCTACTGGATTCAAAGTACGTTTCTCTGATCTTCCCCGCATTCCTCCTGAAACTGCTCAGTTTTCCCTAAGACCCCGTACCTAATGGTGGACAGAGCGAAATCGCCTGGGTTTGTCATCCAGCAGCCGTCTGCTCATTTAATGGGTGCAAAAAGGCTTCCAGGGTCAAGCAACCCAACCGAACCCCTCCCTGGCTTGTCCCCCCAGGCAGGGCTCCTTACCCAGGGGAGAGCTGGACTCCAGCCCGAAAATACCACCCCAAGGGAGGCTTGCTCGGCCGGGACGGCTCTGCTCCCTGCCCAGCCATGTCAGGAGCACGAGGGTTCGGGGTGCGACGCCAAGCTGGGGCACCCAGCCAGTTACCTTGTATTGGAGTTTGAGCCTGGGACCCAAAGTGGCTTGGGGTGCTGAGGGATCCGCGGGGGTTGGGTGTTGTTGGGGTGACTCTCATGGACTGGCGCAGCCGTTCCAGCTCCCCGTAGCGGTCGGTGAAGGGTTTGGCTTGGTCTTCTAGCTTTTGTCTGTGCCCTGGAACATGATAAGAGAGTCTGATATCTAATCAGTTACTCTTTGGCTAGAGTGCCCTGGTTAAACACAAAGTCAGCGCAGCCTCCATCTTCGTGGTTCGCTATTATTCGCACGGGGGTAATGCAGGGCGGCCCCGGCAGCGATCGGCTCCCCGGGGGCTTTGCATGGCACACAGGGGTGGGAAGAGCTCGTGGTTCAGACAGACGAAGCCTGCTGAAGGAGGGATGCCGGCTGACCTATGCGGGAGACCTCAAATCGTCCGGCAAGTTGGCGGCCGATCAAGGAGCAGGATGCGGGTGCCAGGGTCAGGATGCCCTGTGCTGTGCTGAGCAACCAGCTTGCAGCGACCCCCACTTGAGGGGAAACACAGGTAAGGCAGAAGAAAACCCATCTCCTGGCAGGGTGGCGATTGGGGAACCAGTAAAGAAAACACTGAATTTGGAATATTTTCTACGGCCTTTGCCCAGCGCACAAAGAATGAACCCTCGTCTTACTCTAGCCCCTTCCCCAGCTCTGCCCACCCAAAGGGGCCAGAGCCAAGCAGGGCTGGAGAGGGTGCGGGAGGAGGGGAGGGAGCCGCCCAGCCACGGGACCGCACCTTGGCCATCTCACTTTGCTTCTTTCTGTTCCTCTTTTCCTACCCGTAAAATGGGGAGACTGTTCACCTACCTCCCCCAGGCAGGGCAGCAGCTAATGAGCGTTTGTAAAGCACTCCCAGCTCCTTAGGTAGCAGCTGCTGGAACAGGGCAATAATTATTAAATTTATGCTAATTGTCCCGAGGCAAGAGGCGCATGAAATACACTTGATACATAACTTTCGCATTTTACTATATTAATCATCGCCGAACGGCTTCGCTCTCTCTGGGCCGGATTCCAGTCTCAGTTACACCCGCACAAAGCTGGAGGGACTCCAGGGGAGCCGGAGCTGCTTCAGTTTTACATCAGTGCCGGGCTCAGACCTTGGATGCTCCTTGCTCTGTACCTGCCGCAGCCAGGTGGCCGTGCAGCACCCCCAGCTCTTTGCACCTGTCAGGAAAGGACCTTCCCAAGGTGGCAAACACCTTATCCCGGCGCGATCGAGCGCAGAGCTCGGGGGCACTGGAGGTGTGCAGGCACGCCGGAGAGCTAGGGGAGGAGCTGGGAAGAAACCCTCCTGCAGCTCTTCTCAGCGCCGAGCCTTATCAGATCCAGCCCTATGGCCAACTTCCACCAAGCAAAGCTTGGTTCTCGGTGGCTTTTAAGAAGAAAAGCGATGCGTTTGAAAGGTGAAAAACGCAGCCACCTCTTGTTCGCATCTCCCCTTCCTCCCCCCCTCACATCTGCCTAGCGTGAGCTGGGTGTCAATTTATAGCAAAGTCACAGAAAGTCCCCAGACTTCCCCCTCTTTAAATCTGATGTCTGATATCTTCTGATCTTGCATTTGCTTGGCTCGGCGCGCTCAGGCTGCACTTGCCAGGCTGTCTGTGGAGACGCCGGACGGCTCGGTTGGGAGGGTAGAACATCGACTCCAGAGCGGATCTCGTGCTCCCAGCTGAGCTCCCTGCCATGACGGCGGCTCCACGGGTATCCCGACAGCAAACCACTCCCCGCCACACTTTGTGAGGGGCTTTGACCCTCCTCCGGGAGCTCCACATCCAGGTGAGCCCCACCATGCCCCCCAAACTCTACAATCCCCAGGCTTCTGGGTGTGCAAAAGTCCAAACCAAACGAAAACGTTGCCGACGCCAGAGAGTGAAACTTGGGTAAAGACAAACCCCCGGCAGAAAGCAAAACCCAGCGGTATTTTGAAAATGTATTTTCCCTGCTGTGTGAAGTAAACCAAGGAAACCTCAAATCAACACCATAAATGATCTTTCCTAATCCCGGCGCGTCCCTAGACCTTGGGTGTCTCTGCGTTATCTGAGGGCCTTTGGAGACGTGAGCAGCATCGGTCGCACGGTGTTTGTGCTTTTCCCAAGGGGCAACGCGTGTGCAGCGAGGTGTCTTGTTTTGGTCCATATTTTTAGTATTTCAGTATACATCTGAGCACAGAAGAAGAAAAATAGGTTCACGTTTTTCCTTTAACCCGTTTTCTCAGGCAGAGCTTAGCAGAGAAGCCAAAAGGACTTCAAAGACCAAGTTCCAGAGAAATTTAATGGAAATTAAATTCTCTGCCTCTACCTCAGTTGAGACCCTATCCTCCAGTCGTATCTGGCATGTGATGGAGAAAATCCTGAAAAATAAATCAAGTGATCTCTAGGCTGAAAATGTTTTTTAAAGATTATTCAGCCGTACGACTTATCCGAGGGCTTCATGTGGCTGCATCATGCTGCACTGTGGTTGCTCCGATCCCCGTGCTGTCTCAACGCCAGCACAGCCCCATGGGGATTTTAAGCCTCGAGTAAATAGCAGTGCTCTACCGACACCCTCTAGAAGGGGGCTGGTTTGCGGGGAGACCCAGCAAAACCCCCAAAACTATCACGATAAAGAGAAAGTAGAAAACGTGATGCAAATATAAATCAAGGCAAACACGGGGGCTGGTTTAGGAGTGAAAGCCCAGAGGAGCGCTGCGGTGGGATCAGGACCCTTCCTGGCTCTCCTGGGACCTCTCCAGTTTGTATCCCACCCCATCTACACACAGGTGGGACCGGGCAGCGCTGAACTGCGCGAAACACGGCAGCGAATGAGTTAACCCCCCCCCCAGTTTGGGCTGCCAACCCTCTTTGGTACAGGCTGTCTCCCCAGGACTTCCTGCCGCTTGTCACTTCGAGCTGGGGACGTCAGACTTTGTCACGCAAGAGAGAATCGCTGTTAATGGGTTTCTTTCATCAGAACAACCTGAGCTTTTTAATTTCTGCAGCGGTTGGCTTCATTAAAAGCCCTTCCCCATCTACCCACAGCTGTCACGGAGAGGAAACCAATGCCGTCAAGTGAACAATAGCTCATACCTTAGCGAGGAGGAAGGTGGTTTCTAGCTTAACCCGAGGACTGACTCAAAGCCTCCCGAAGCCAGTGGGCGGCTTTTCAATCGACTTCAAACAGCTCCAGACCTCATCCCAAGAAATCTGTCTGAGAAGTCTTCATCACCCCAACCTGTGAATTTTTGGGGCATGAAACCTGCCGTTGGGTTTGGAGATTTTTTGCGCTGCGTTTCCAGCTGCGCTAGCACCAGCTCGCAGGTCAATATTTATGGAAACAACAGTTCCTTAGTGCTATAAAAGGATGGCAGCTACTGACCTTAGGCACTTTCTTGTCAACAGCGCAAGGGTTTTAACGCTGGATCGGGTTTCCGAACCAGTTAACTCCGATATTGAACATGACACGATGTAAACATTGACAGATCACCTACGAACCTGATGTAATAACAAGATCTGTATCAGCGTATCAAACAAACGATCCCATTGAACACTTCCCAGCTGGAAGAGCCGATGTGAATTTGACACTTTGGGCCAGTAATAAGAAGCATACTGGAAGTTTTGGGTGTTTTCTTGGAATGCAGACAGCGAAACAGTGTGCGCCGCACTGGAGCTCAGGCCCTCAAAGCCATGATTTAAAGACATGCTTTCTGCATTAAAACATTTCAAAGACCAAACAGAGCCTGTTCTTCCGTCTAGGAGCATGCAACCTGATGTGGCTTCCGAGGCTGGGATCTGGATGGGGTTTCCAGGCTGGGGGAGGGTGGTGGGGCTGTCCACAGTGCTCACCAAAAGCAGCTTATTTCCCCAGATTACAAAGTTAATCAAAGGTAAAAGGGGGCTCCAGGAACTTCATGGCCTGAGCGATAGCACAATCTCAGAGCTGGCAGATTTGATTTGGAAAAAACACCCTCTGGGGTGCCTGGGGGTCCCGGTCCCCTGATTTATCTGCGTTTAGATGCATACGGGGTTACTGCCGGGAGAGGCAAGAGGCTGCCGATCCTTCTCTCTACCCCCGGTGGGTTCGGATTCGGGTGTCACGTTCATCCCCGTCCCCCGCTGTAGCCCCACGCTACCAAAGGATGGGAGAGCAGATGGTGGGAAGTGGCTTGGCCCCCCCTCCGGGCGGCTTGCGGCGCCACCCC